TAGGTACATTTTCCATCTTCTACCTTACTGCCCGCAATTGTTTTACCAAATGTTTCACACTTTATCACCCAGGCTACCATTTTTCCATCCTCTGATAACAGTTTCCCCAACTGTTGCCTCTTGGTCCCAAAGTCAGTGCCAGAGATACTTATTTGGTAGCAGTTTTGTATTGGTTAGCACGGACGTGTTGGGTGCTGGCAGAGCACGGAAACGAGCAGAAACATGCAGGACCTCTTAAGGCCCAGGCTTAGAACTGGAACAAGTCACATGGCCAAATCCAAAGTCCAGGGGCAAAGAAATACACGCTGGTTCTTGAGTGGAACTGGGGAGCATGAGGGAATTTTGCTAATTGGCAATCTAATTTACCATACATGTCTATATATTTCAGTATGTATTTCTATGGAAAATAAAAAAAAATGACTGAGATTATCAGTAATTATTTGGTATCATCTAATACCCTGGCAATAATCAGTTTTCCCTGGTTATCTCAAAAATGCCTCTTTTTGGGGTCATTCAGTGGGTTCCTCTAGCTACAGTGTTTCCTATAAGTGGGAGCACTGAGTGCTTGAATAAATTTAGGTTCCAGATTTTACAAGAGGGCTTCATAGATGGTGCTATGTGCCGAGAAACAGATTTTAAAATCTTTGATTATATCTATATTAGTTTATAAATTTGGTTTATTAATATTTTTGGACTGTCCTTGTACCTGCATCATATGGCAGTTTCTGCATAGGATCCCAGCAAGCGATCCGCCCAGCTGCAAAGGGTGGTGGGAAATGGGTGTTTTGTTTTCCCAGACAGTTGAGGCCAAGAAGGAAGAAGGGGCTTAGGCTGGGTGAGCCTGCATTCTGAACCCCTTCTCCCTAGTGTGTGCCCCACATCAGCTGTCGGGTATCTGTACTTCCTGGGTCACTTGCTCCAACTCCATTTTGTTACCTCCCACCGAGGAAAGCGGTGCCTCTAAGATATACTGGGTGGTTTAGGAACAACTGAAACTTATTTTCACAGCTCTGGAGATTAGGAAGTCCAAGATCAAGGATCTGGCAGATTTGGTGTTTGGTGAGAGCCCGCTTTCTGATTTATAGGTGGTCATCTTCTTGCTGTGTCCTCACATGGCAGAAGGGGTGAGCTCTCTGGGAAATCTTTTATGAGGGCCCTAATCCCATTCCTGAGGCTCCACTCTCATGACCTAATTACCTCCTAAAGGCCCCACCTTTTTTTTTTTTAATTTATTTGAGAGAGAGAGAATGAGAGATAGAGAGCACGAGAGGGAAGAGGGTCAGAGGGAGAAGCAGACTCCCTGCTGAGCAGGGAGCCCGATGTGGGACTCGATCCCAGGACTCCAGGATCATGACCTGAGCCGAAGGCAGTCGCTTAACCAACTGAGCCACACAGGTGCCCCAAGGCCCCACCTTTTAATACTGTCACCTTGAGGGTTAAGATTTCAACATATGAACTTTGGGGGGACACAAACTTGCAGTTCATAATGCCCCCACTAGTTTTTGTTTTTAATGATTGTCAGGTTTGAGTGATTGAATAATAGCTAGTAATAAATTCTTTGTGAAATATGTTGTAACTACTCACAACTTTGGTTGGCAGCATTTTCGAGGTACAGAGGCTATTGAGAGGACATAGGTATGACTATGTAACTGGGCAGGGTGATAAGTGCAGTGATAGTATTTTATTTAAAAATTTATTTTTTGGTCAGAGGATGGCTATTAATACTACCTCAATTTTTCTTTAAAGATTTTATTTATTTGTCAGAGAGACAGAACACAGGCAGGAGGAGCAGCAGGCAGAGTGAGAAGCAGACTCCCCACTGAGCAAGGAGTCTGATGTGGGACTTGATCCTGGGACCCTGGGATCATGACCTGAGCCGAAGGCAGTCACTTAACCAACAGAGCCACCAAGCACCCTCCCCTCAATTTTTTATTTTGAATTTTTTTAATTTATGGAAAAATGAAAAGAGCAGTATAATGTTTAATCTTCATCTAGATTCACAAGTTGTTAACAATTACACACATATACATAATACACGTACACACACATAATATCTATATTTCATTTTGCTGACCCAGTTGAGAATAAATTACAGTCATCATTATTCATCCCTAAATACTTCAGTATGTATCTGCTAAGAATAAGGGTGTTTTCCTACATTTCCACATTACTGTCATCACTCAAGAAATTTATATTTTTATTCAAGTAAAATTAACATACAGTGTTATATTCGTTTCAGGTGTATACGATGTAATGATTCAACAATTCCATACTTTTCTTGGTGCTCATCATGATAAGTGTACTCTTAATCTCCTCTCTCTGTTTTCCTCACATCCCCACCCACCTCCCCTCTGGCAACCACCAGTTTGTTCTCTGTATTTAAGAATCTTGTTTGTCTCTTTTTTTTTCCTTTAATCATTTTTTTTTTTTAAATTCCACATGTGAGTGAAAACAATATGGTATTTGTCTGTCTCTGACTGACTTATTTCAGTTAATATTATACCCTCTAGGTCCATCCATGTGGTTGCAGATGGCAGGATTTCATTCCTTTTTATGACTAATATTCCATTGTATATGTATACCACATCTTCTTTATCCATTCGTCTATATCGATGGGCACTTGTGTTGCTTCCATATCTTGGCTATTGTAAACAATGTTGCAGTGAACATAGGGGTGCATATATCTTTCTGAATTAGTGTTTTCATTTCCTTTGGGTAAATACCATGCATAAAAATAAACTCAAAATGGATTAAAGAGCTAAACGTGAGACCTGAAACCCATTAAATTCCTAGAAGAAAACATAGGCAGTTATTTCTTTGACATTAGTGGTAGAAACATTTTTCTGGATATGTCTCCTCTGGGAAGGAAAACAAAAGCAACATTAAACTCTTGGGACTACACCAAAATAGAAAGCTTTTGCACCGAGAAGGAAAGCAGCAACAAAACAAAGACAATTTACTGGGTGGGAGAAGATATTTGCAAATGCTATCTCTGATAAGGGGTTAATATCCAAAATATATAAAGAACTTACACAACTCAACACCAAAAAATACCAAATAATCCAATTTAAAAATGAGCAGAGTACACAAATAGACATTTTTCCAAAGAAGACATACAGATGGCCAACAAACACATGAAAAGATGCTCAACATCACTCGTCATCAGGAAAATGCAAATCAAAACCACAACGATGAAGTGCATGGTTGGCTCAGTTGGTTAAGCATCTGCCTTCAACTCAGGTCATGATCCTAGGGTCCTGGAATGGAGCCCTGGGTCGGGCTCCTTGCTCAGCAGGGAGTCTGCTTCTTCTCCTGCCCCTCTGCCCTTCTGCCCTTTCCCTCACTTGTGCTGTCTCTCTCATTCTCTCTCTCTCCCAAGTAAATAAATAAAATCTTAAAAAAAAAACCACAATGAGGGGCGCCTGGGTGGCTCAGTTGGTTAAGCGACTGCCTTCAGCTCAGGTCATGATCCTGGAGTCCCGGGATCGAGTCCCACATCGGGCTCCCTGCTCAGCAGGGAGTCTGCTTCTCCCTCTGACCCTCTTCCCTCTCGCGCTCTCTGTCTCTCATTCTCTCTCTAATAAATAAATAAAATCTTAAAAAAAAATAAAAATAAAAATAAAACTAGAAAAAAAAAAACACAATGAGATATCATCTTATACCTGTCAGGATAGCTAAAATAAAAAAAACACAAGAAATAACAAGTGTTGGCCAGGACGTGGAGAAAAAAAGAACCCTTGTGCACTGGTGGTGGGAGTGAAAATTGGTGCAGCCACTATGGAAAACAGTATGGAGGTTCCTCAAAAAATTAAAAATAGAATTACCATATGAGCCAGTAATTCCACTACCGATTCTACTGTTTTTTTTTAAATACTTAATTGATACCCAAATGCTCTCACATGTTCCAATAATTTCCTTTTTACTTTTTTTTTTAAATCTGGCAACCAGTGCTTTTAGTTGCCTTGTCTGCTTAGTGCAATAGAAATAGATTAATCTGCCATGACAGAGAAAATAAAATCTCAAGGCTTGATGTATGATAGAGAATGAACACCCAGACACTATTAGGCAGTGTATCAGCACAGACTTTTTGGAGGATAATTTGGACAGTATCAGTCAAAATGTAAAATATGCATACCCAACTAATTCAGTAGTCTCTGGTCTAGGAATTTTTTGGAAATGGTCTTATAAGCACTCAAAGACAGATGTTCATGGATGTTTACTGCAACATTGTGCGACTGTGGACAGTTAATGGGGACACAGGCAATGCGGACAAAAGAAGAGAAACTTGGCCTACCCAAAACTTTGAATTTCTTCTATGCTTCTCATTTCTTTTGCACTAGTAAGGGTCTGTTCAAGACACAAAAAGGACGCTGGCTGTTTGAACAGGAAGAATTTAACAGAATTGTTGACGAGGTTTAGAGTTGTGAGCCAGGTAACTGAGGGTTAAAGAGAGAACTCTACAGTATCATGGAAGTACCAACTATGGGAAGTAACTAACAACCTGGTTGAGGGAACCAAAGGGACAGATTAAATTATGGGAACTTGGAAACTTAGAAGAGGGGCCTTGTGGAGCTGAAATGCAGAACTGTGAAGGGGTGGGGGTGCTGGCCGGCTGGTGTCTCTGAGCTCAGTCAAGAAGCCTAGGGGTCAGGGACCCAGACTTCAGATATCGCTAGGGAAGGGGACTGCTGCTACCAGCGGAACACAGCATTGCAGAGGTGATACCAGAACAGGAGGCAGACAGGCCGGGAACAAGTAAGTCCTTTCTTTCTCCCCCAACCTTGCAGAATCCTTCTTGTGTCCCCTAGTGGCAGAGCCTCGCACAGAGCCAGTTCTCAGATTCAAAGTGTGATTTGCAGAGCCATGATTCCAGCATTACAAAGTGTGGTTTAAACGGGAGGGCTTGGAGCAGAAAGACAGCAACCTAATGACCCGCAAAGCTTCCAGCTGTGCTCTTCTGCCAGTAGTCATCTGTGGATGATCCATGTGGCGTATGCTTGATGTTTCAGGAAGCTGTGACCTTCAAGGACGTGGCGGTGGTCTTCACGGAGGAAGAGCTGGCTCTACTGGACAAGGCCCAGATAAACCTGTACCAGGACGTGATGCTGGAGAACTTCAGGAACCTTGTTTCAGTGGGTGAGGACAACAAGCCTCTGTCCTGTTTCCTCAAATAATCAGTTTCAAGCCAGATAGAATATTCCAGTTGGAGCACAAAGAGAAACTTTGGCCACCGGTGAGAATACCTGAGACACACACATGCCAAGGAGACCCCTGAAGTTAGTGAGTTTTAACAGATTGACATGAGTGAGTGGCCTCCTGTGAAGTGTTGGTGAGGAAACCCCTCACATCTTACACCCCCTGGCCCATGGGCCTCCAATACAGTTAGTGAGACCACCCTGGCCTCCTCTCATTTTAGGCTGTCATCTGCTCTCATGTTTCCCAAAGCGAGGTTGATAAAGTTCACACACTACCACGGGCCTTGGTCCCTTGGTTGCTTCTGGAGAAAAACCAGTGTTTTGGGCAAACTAGTGTTAAAGGAACTAAACCAGGATCTGGTGTACGGTGAGTGTGGTATAAGTGTCAGCTTATTTGCTTTCTTACTGATAAATATCTAGTTTTAATTTCTCAGAGGCTCACATACAGATATGCATTACCTTGGTTTAGTCTATGAGATAGTTGCTATTCCTTCTTTTACAAAGGAAACAACTGAGGCACAGAGTAGTTAAGTAACTTGCCTGTGGTCACACAGCTTATAAGAAATATGATGTGAACCCTTATCTGGCTGTACACCCTGTGTTCTGTTTTTTTTTTTTTTAGGGAGAGAGAAAGCGTTCATGCTTGCACATGTGAGTGGAGGGGGTGGGGGAGCAGAGAGAGAAGGAGAGAAACTTAAGCAGTCTCCATAGCTCAGCGTGGAGCCCAATGCGGAGCTTGATCTCACAACCCTGAGATCATGACCTGAACCAAAATCAAGAGTCAGACACTTAGCCAACTGAGCCACCCAGGCACCCCAAGACCTTTTAATAACCATGTGAAACTAAGTACCACTATGTCTATAGATTATAGACATATGGCTAGTCTGCAGGATTCAACACTGTCAGTGAGTCGGTTTCAGAATTTCCATTCTGAAATCAAGTTACTCTATCATAATCAGTTTTTAAAAAGCAAGATAGATTAATGGACCAGAACACAAAAGAATTTATCAGAGTACATTGCACCTAGTAAGGTAAGTATCAGCTTGTAAAACTTTTATTTAACAGTCAGTGTCTATTTGTGCATACTGGGTCACAGTGCAAATGCTTTTCTTACTAGGGATACAATCGAAACAACTGGAAAACTGCTCCTTTAGGCCTCTTGTGGGTAGCTCTAAGTCCCCCTTTCTCTGACACCACCTCACACACTAACATCACTCTCAATAAAATGACTCAGAAACTACCTTGAACCAGAAGCTGTGTCCAGATGGTCTTGACCATAGCGTTCATGGCATTCTGAAGCCCATTTTAGGGTGCCAAGTGTTGACCATCCTCTTCTACCTCATCTCCTTATGTTTTATGACCCTTTGGTACAATCTTGCTTCTGTGGGGCCAGGTCATTCACATTGCTCATTCTCATAGTCATGGCTATTTGAAATTCTGCAATTAATTAAAGAGGAGATGTTAGGGAAATGGATTACAGGATCTTAGAGCATGTGACTCTTGATCTCAAGGTCATGAGCTCAAGCCCCACATTGGGAGTAGAGATTACTTATTAAAAAAAAAAAAAGAAAAAAAATCACTGGATGGATTATAGGATCTTGGTGGACTTTATCTCTTCATGGAATCCAGAGAACCTCAGAGAAAAGGATGTCTCTTTAAGCCTGCCTCAAAGGTGTACATGTACCCCCCCCACCAACCTCAGGACCATATTTCACAATATCATCCCTGTATCAGTCCCCATTGCTGTTTTAAGTTGACCCCATACAGTTGGGCAGGCTGTAGAGAAACATACATGATAATCCTACCTCGTGTGACAGTCATGTGAAGGAAGGGACATTAGCAAGAGACAAGATTTGTTGCTTGTTTCTGCAACTTTATATGGTATCTTGGAAGGTCTTTGTGATCCTTTGTGCTGTCACCATGTCCAGCACTCCCATTATTGTGTTGTACACACACAGACACCATAAATCTTATGGGAGTCTTCCCCATACTTTTTTTTTTTTTTTTGCTTTGAGAGAGAGTGTGCGAGTGGGAGGAGAGGCAGAGGGAGAACAAGAGAGGGAATCCCAAGCAGGTTTCATACTCAGCACGGAGCCCCACATGAGGTCGATCTCACGCCCCTGAGATCCTGACCTGAGCTGAAATCAAGAGTTGGATCCTTAACCGACTGAGCCAGCCAAGCACCCCTTCTCCATTCCTTCTGTAGCAAAATGATTAAAGGTGTTTTATCAGCTGCCCTTATAGGAGGCAGGTGAATTTCTTTCTTTACAAATTGTTCCCAGGATTTCTTTTGATTTCTCTGCAACATCTGATTTTTAATTGGCAGCTCATAGATTAGAAGTACTGTGATTCTGATTGTTTCCATATCAATAGGAACCAGTGACAGCTTCCCACCGCATCCTACCTCATTTCTCAATACCTCTGGAGGGATGACTTACTTGTTCTCTTAGCCAAATTCTCTTTCTCCTCATAGGAGACAGGATTAAAAACAACATTTCACATCTTCAGGGAAAAGGGTTGAGTTATCTCTCTCAAGAAGTGCTCTACTGCTGGCAGATTTGGAAACAAAGGATCAATGAATTAACTGTGAGTCAGGAGTATGTCATGAATCTTCAAGGAAATTATCCCCAATATTTAGAAGGAGATGTGTCTCTCTGTGAAGAGTGGGCAGGAGTGTCTCTTCAGATTTCTGAAAATGAAAACTATGTAATAAATGCCATTAATTTAGAAAATCAAGATGGCACAGAAGGGAAAGGCCTGACACGAGTCTTTACCCCAGAATCTTGGAAGGGAGCCAGCATGATGACTGAGCCCCAGAATTCTCAAGGACAATATGAGAGAATGCATGTGGAAGAGAAACTGTACGGATGTGCTCAGTGTGATGACAGCATCAGTCAGACATCATATGATCATGGTGATTCCCAAGAATGTAAAGAAGAGGAACCTTGTAGATACACTGACTATGGGAAACACTTGGCTATGACATCAACAGCCAAACAACATAACGTGGTCCCTGTGGTACCACAACCTGTCAAATGTAATAACTATGATGTGGGCTTCATAGATGGTGCAGACCCTCCTATTCATCACAGCGCTCACATAGAAAAGTCTTGTAGATGTGACCAGTGTGGAAAGGACTTTAGTCAGAGCTCAGATCTTATTGTTCATTATAAAACTCATTCAGATGACAAAGCTTATGAATATCAAGAGTGGGCAGAGGGCTGCAAGCAGAGCCCAGACCTTCCGAGATATCAAAAGGTCCCCTTGGGAGACAAACCCTATAAATGTCTCGAATGTGGCAAGGTCTTCAGGCGTAACTCCTCTCTTCACAACCATCACCGGGTCCACACAGGGGAGATGCCCTATAGATGTGATGTGTGTGGGAAGGGGTTCGGATTTAGGTCGCTTCTTTGTATTCATCAGGGAGTCCACACAGGGAAAAAGCCCTATAAATGTGAGGAGTGTGGGAAGGGCTTTGATCAGAGCTCCAATCTTCTTGTCCACCAGAGAGTCCACACTGGAGAGAAGCCCTACAAATGCAGTGAGTGTGGCAAATGCTTCAGTTCAAGCTCTGTTCTTCAAGTCCACCGGAGGCTGCACACAGGGGAGAAGCCTTACAGGTGCGGTGAGTGTGGAAAAGGCTTCAGCCAAAGCACACACCTCCACATTCACCAGAGAGTCCACACGGGGGAGAAGCCCTATAGATGCAACGTGTGCGGAAAGGCTTTTGCATACAGTTCAGTTCTTCACACTCATCAGAGGGTTCACACGGGAGAAAAGCCTTACAAATGTGAAGTGTGCGGTAAAGGCTTCAGTTATAGTTCATATTTTCACTTACATCAAAGAGACCACACCAGAGAGAAACCGTATAAATGTGATGAGTGTGGTAAGGGCTTCAGTCGGAATTCAGATCTTCATGTGCATCTCAGAGTCCACACAGGAGAGAAGCCCTATAAGTGTAAAGAATGTGGGAAGGGCTTCAGTCGTAACTCATATCTTCTTGCTCACCAGAGAACGCATGCAGATGAGGTGCAATATACATGTTGTGAGCATGGCAATGGCTTTAGTTATAGCTCAGACCTTCTTACTCATCAAAGACTACACAAGAGGACAGAAACGTACTCAGTGTAATTCTCAAAGGGGCCAATCAGGAAAGCAAGCAAGTCTGTGTATTCCAGGTGATAGAGGCTTACTCAGTCATTGGGAGGGCTAGGGCAGCAAAGGACAAGGACGCTGCCACCCATCATGTCATCCTGCAGCTCTGAAGCAAGGGTTCTTAAGAGCATTCCAGGGACCTACTGTGGATCTCAAGGACTTCTGCAAAACTCCCATCAACTGTCATATGCTGCAGTGGCAAAGTAGTGATAATTGACAGATGGACGGTTTGTGGCAATGACAATAATTGGAGATCAAATTTCCGTGAATGGATATGCCCAGGAAGGAAATTATAATTGAGATGGGTACAAGTGAAGACTTCAGGCCAGCCAAAATCTGTAGATTTTTTTTATTGTAAATATGTTTATTGATGGATGTTAAGACTCCTATAATTTATTCCCGATACTTGATGTTACAAACTTTAGGATCTTTGAGATATGCAGCATCCTTGTATGTAACTGGCATAAACCCCATTATTTGAGCTCTCTTAATTGCTTTTGTGATTTCTTTCTGTTTCTTCCCACAAAGACCTGTTATGTGCCTTCCATAAATGCATCCAGTAAATGGAGAAATAAACTGGGACAAAAGCTGTACATTCTTATAATCTACACGTTTTCCACACAAGATACATTTTTTAAGAGGCTCCTTATAAGGATTTTCCATCGGAACGGGCAGGTCCTCATTGCCGGCTACGTGCTTATATTGTGAACAACTCCTCCACAGCACCGCGTGAGTCCCAGGATCTGTGAGGCAGAGAGCAGCCTTTACGCAATGCGTTAACTTTTTCCTCCCTAGATCACCGCAAACAGCAACCAAAGCCGCCATGGATCCTCGCCAAAATCTGTAGATTTTTTAAAGAGAGTACCCACTAGAAAGATATTCAAAAGAGTGCTCAGAAATGAAACCCGTGTTATCAGTGTGGTAAGAATGTTAGTCCATTCTCGGGTTTTCAAATCCATTAGACTTTCTACACAGGGAGAAGCTCTATAAAAGTGATATTTTATGGGCATGGCTGTGTGTTTATCTTGGTGGTTCTATTTCTTGGGTCACATAGAGACTCCCATTTCCCAGAAACCCTTGCAGTTAAGAGCTGGTCCATGTGATAGAGTGCCAAGCAACAGAGTATGAGCAAAAGTAATATAAGCTACTTCCAGGCCTGGCCCTTAGAAACGTCTTGTGATGTCCTCCGGCCTTCTTTCCTGTCATGGTGACCTTGGAGGCTGGACTGATAAAAGGTGGCTATCTGACCTGTGCGGGACTTTGTTTTTCTTGAGTAAGAAATAAATATTTATTGTGTTATACAACTGATATTTTGGCAGTTTATTTGTTGCTAGTATTGCCCAGGCTATGCCAACTATGACAGAGGGATTTAACAGCAACATATTTCACGGTGATTGGAATTCACATAAGAAAGCAACTTTATAATTGAGTTCAAAACTTTTCAGTCGTTAAGGCTATATGTGGCAGTGAAGCTATCTAAAATGGTGTGGCTAGGACTTCTACAGTGAGAATCTTCATTCATTGGTCTGTGCATAAAAAAGAAATGTTCCAGATAATGCACAGGTGGTAAAACTGTAGCAAAAGTGCAATCTGTAGACATAAATCCCATGCAATAGATAAACTCTGTAAGGTGTAATAATGGGAAAAGTTTGTCAATAAGAAATTAACTAGACTAGATGTCCTGCAGATAGTCTTAATAAAGTGAATTAAGTAAAACTAATATTTAATGAAGTGGCTAACAACTGACAGAAGACCAAGAGTGTTCATTGTCAGAAGCTGGCAACACCACTTCTCAACAATCTTGTTTAATAAAAATGGGGTTTTATTTTTTAAAAGATTTTATTTGAGAGGGAGAGCATGAGAGATAGAGAGAACACATGAGAGGGGGGAGGGTCAGATGGAGAAGCAGACTCCACACTAAGCAGGGAGCCCAATGCAGGACTCGATCCTGGGACTCCAGGATCATGACCTGAGCCGAAGGCAGTCGCCCAACCAACTGGACCAGCCAGGCACCCCTATAAAAATGGGGTTTTAGAAGGCACTCGTTTTGTCAAGTTCCTTCCATAATTGTGATTTAATTTGGGATTATAGATGGTTTTGGGAGGAAGAGATATATTCACAATATCTTTTTTCATCTTCACAAATAATGTCTTTTGTTGGTATCTTAGTTGACCAATAGGCTTCTTCATTTGGATCATCTTTTCTTCCTAGTTTTTCTTACATTATAATTTCCTACGAGTTATGGTTTATATATGGAACAGCCATTCAAAATCAAATAAAACCATCCCTAAAATGTTGCTTTCTTACTGATCCAGGTGAGCAACAGTGAAACGTTAATAAAACCCAGTGTCAGTAAGGGAATGGAAAAACCAGTGGTTGGTGGGAAAAAATACAGGTGCAACATTTCTGGAGAGAAATTTGTCTATATGTATCAAAGCATATAAAGTGCATTATCTTTGAATTAATAATTCCACTTCTCAGAATTTGTCTTTACAGTATAATTGCACAAGTGGGGAAAGATGGTTTCAGAAGGGAATATATTCCAAGAATATTTACAATAATAAAAGTTGTAAACAACCTGAAGATACTTAAGAGATGAATAAATTATGGTACTTACATATAATGAAACAAAATATCACCATTAAAAATGATGTAAAAATTTCCACATACAGTTTGGAGAAAAAAATCATGTTGTAAAAGATCATTACAGCTGACCCCTGACTTGATACCCAAGTTTTACAGCACAGAGTAGTACTGGGAGTGGTCCCCTCCACCACTCTACACTTCACTTTTCAGTGTTGTTTCAAGGGTTGTTTGGACGTGTTTAATCCAAGTGGGGATATGCATAATGTAGGAAATGCTTTTCCAAAATTATTTTCCTTTCTTTACATTCAGATGCTTGTGATAACAATTTTGTCACTAGACATTCACCAATCCTTAAAATGATGTTTTTCCCTAATGGGTTGTGAGTAGAGCTCATGGTGGAGAGGGTAGGTTGTTTGGAGAAAGCAAGTCCTGGTGGAAGATTGTGAGGTTTTGCTTTAGAAAGTTGCTGCCAGAGCTGGAAGGCAATGGGCTTGACCTATCACCAGGTGACTGCTGTAGTATAGCTCCTTGCATGAGCAATTACTGTAAATGGACTGTGGGAAAGCCAGCTCTCCTCTCACTATGTGGCCTTCCTTTGTGTTTCTGTGCTGATTGTTCCATGTTTTACAATCCTTGGCTTACTGACCCTCATCCTGTATGTCTTCCTATGTACCCCAACTTTTACAGACCAGTAGCTGGGACTTTGGAAGTGGCAATGATTGCAGTTCAGTCTAGGGGCAAGTTATTGCCTTTAAGTTCCAAATTCACCCTTTGATACACACTCTATAATAATGAAAGAAATTTCTTTGAGCATTTCTCCTTTGCAGTAAACACAATGTTAAGCTTTCTCAGCAGAGGGTGTTGGAGGGAGATTGCAGGAGGGAAGGATCTCCTGATGTCTGTAGCAGCTGCATGATTGGTCAGCAGTGTGGAAGTGAGGACATCTGGTCCTACTCTGCACTAGCCAAACATCCAGAATGCACAGTCCCTTGATGATCCTGCAGCTCTAGCCTGTTGATCACATTCCCATGGACCTCTGGATGTGGACTTTGCACATTCTAGGTCTTCTACCCACAGGCACACCCATTCCCTTTGCACATCCGTGTACCTGGCCACTGACTGTGGCTCATCTGTTCCCCCAATGGATGACATCTGCACCCTTCCTCATTCTGCATGCCCATGCATCCCAACACCCATTGCAACTTGCCTACAAACTACCCACTTGACCAGCAACCAGGGGGACCACCTCTGACTCAGGCAAAACAGAAAACTTCTCTGCCATCCAGTGGGCTACAGCTGTATTTTCTTCATAAAGTCTGATGTTTGTCCAAGTTTGTCTTTCCTTGGATACTCTCAGTATTGTACCACATAAGAGTTTTAAAATGTTGTACAGTTACTTTTTTAAAGTTTAATAATTTGTATATTAAATTTCCATTTTAATCACTGTGTGGTTTCTGTCTCCTTATTGGACCCAGACTGATCAGGTGGCAACTGTAATTGCTGTTTCAATGGGAGTCTTAAGGTCAAAGAGTACAGTGAGATTCAGGTAATTCAACAGTGGTGAAGGAGAAAATACAAGAAATATACTCTGTCAGCCTTGATAGTTGCAGACATAAAGGGCTTGGAAGATTGGCCTCAACATCTATAGGCAAACTGGAAGGCATGATAAGAAGCTGGTGTGGGACATCTTGGTGAACAGGTTTCTTACACCTGATTTGGACAGAGCCATTCTAGGGAATAAAGTTGTATCTTAATAAGATTATCTACTATCAATAAGATAATATGAATGTGGCAAAAGGGTTAGTCAGGGTTGAAATCCACAGTGATCATGGTTTGGTATTTACCAGAGAAAGAGACTTCTGGGAACCAGAGTTGGTGCAACTTTTCCTCAGGACAGAGAGCAACCTTCAGCCTTAGCATAGGTGCCACAAACAATATTCCTGTTTGGCCAGGAGAAGCCCTTGCATGTCACATTTAGCTCTCGCTCTCAGCTTTCTTGAGGTATAATTGATACATAAAAACTGCAGATATTTAATCTATACAATTTAATGAGTTTAGACATGTGCATACACCTATAAAACCATCACAATAATCAAGGTAACAGACATATCTATCACCTCCAAAAATTTTCTTCTGTCTCTTTTTTTTTATTATGATTTTTTTTGGGGGGGTGGTAACATGAGATCTACCCTCTCAGCAAACTTTTGACTATATAATACTGTATTGTTGATTTTAGGCACTATGCTGTACAGCAGACCTTGAGAACTAATTTACCTTGCATAACTGAAACTTTACACCAATTGAACAACTCTCCAATTCCCCCTTCCCCCTGGCTCCTGGTAATCACCATTCTATTCTCTGCTCCTATGAATTTGACTAATTAGGT